TCTATTTGTAGTGCTGTCATCTAAGTTGATGGCACCACCATTCTTGCAGTTATTCAAGCCCAAATCCATGGAGTCTTTTTTTTTTCGGGGGGTGCCTTGTGCTTGCTAGCAGGTGCCCTACTACTTCAACCAGTTCTCCAGCCTTTGTTGCTTTAGGTATTTTTTTGAAGCAGTCTTACTTTTATGCCAAGCCAGCTTGGACACTGATCCTCCTATTTTATGATTCTCCTTGCCACTGGGATGACAGGCTCATGCTCAGGTTTTTTTTCCTTGAGATGGGGTCTCAAAACATTTTTCCCAGGCTTCCCTGGAACCACAATTCATTCCTGATCTCAGCCTCCCAAATAGTTGGGATTACAGGCATGAGCCACTGGCACCCAGCCGCGGAATCATTCTTAAGTGCACTTTGTCTCCCACCCATGTGCAAATTCTTAGACAATCTGACTGATTTTACCTTGAAATTATGTCCAGAAGCCTGCCATTTTTCATGACCTGTACTGATATCACCTTGGTGGGAATGAACATCATCTCTTGTTTGAATTACCTTTTAACAAGTTTTCCTGATTCCACCCTTATCCCTTTCCCGCCAAGCCACTTCAATACACAGTAGCCAGAGTGATGAAATGTTAAATCATATTGTAGCAGGGAGAAGGATTAGAAGAAAACAGACTAGGCCTGAGTTCTGATAAAATAGCAGGAAGGTATTGATGGCATAGCAGAGAGATAAAACCTGAGGAATCTGAACATGGAGAGGGTCATGTAGCACTGGGGAAGGGGACAGTTACGTAACACTAGGTAAAGTACCCTATAGAATTGAATATAACCATGTATGGATTAGACCTTGCCTTTTACTTCTGTAACCGGCTTGCAAGGGTATATAAGGTGAGACCCCTTTGTTCTCAGGGCTCAGTCTTTGGACATGAGTCCAACGGGTCTGTGCCTACACAATAAATCTTTGCTTCCTGCTAAACTGCTTCAGTGTCTCCTATCTCAGCTTGAGATTCTTGCAATATTTCTGGGGGCTCCTTGCTGGGATTGTGGAGACAGTGATTTGTCATCTCCCTTGTCACCAGGGTGCATCCCCCGGAAATGCCAGGAGAAGATCCCATCAAGTGTCAATGGACAGCTTGATCCGGAGGGGGATTTGTCCTCCCAGCAAGTCAGGGTGAGGGCCTCGGATGCACAACGGAACCCTGTGAGGCACAAGAACAAGCAAGGGGAGGGGAGCACCACTCATCAGACTTGTAAGGACCCGGGTTCAAATTCAAACCTGCCTCAGGAGGCAGAAGGGGAGATTAACCAACTCCCAGAGACCACTAGCAACCACCTTTTGGGGTGAAACCATGTCTTTCAGGTTAAGGGAATGGGGCAAAAGTGTGTGAGACACCTCCGAGAGTTAGGGAGGGTTGAGCTTTTCCTGGGAAATAGCCACAATCGAGGTTAAGGGATGGATAACAAAAAAAATCAGTTTCAAAGAGGGGAGACTCTCAAGAGAACAGATGCATCATCCACCATTCTACTGCTAGCCCTCTAGGTATAATTTAAAAGTTTTTTCTTTTTTTTTTTTTGAGCGTGCACTGTAATTTTGTGTGTGTCAATTTGTTTACAACATTGGGCAAAATTTAATTTGCTCCTGGAATTCCAGTTCATTTGATGCACACTTAAGTTGACATTTTTTTCTGGCATGCTTAATTTATAAAACCTGTGTGTGTGTGTGTGTGTGTGTGTGTGTGTGTGTGTGTGTGTGTGTGTGTGTAAGTATCTTCAAATGGTTCTTAAACTGCTCTTATAATGTTAATGTGATATTCAGGGTAACAAAAAACCAGGGTGTTTGTTTTAAAGATCTCTGTTACAAACTGCTTAAGCTTTTTACACATAAATATGTAAACATCTTGAGGATGGTTCTTACTATAGAGTTAATGTAAAAATTTATTACTCTGTTCTACTGCTACTTTTTAAAAAACAGGGTTTCAAACTTATTTCAATCAGGTCTCACTAGGATGCAGGAATTCAGGGGTTAACACTCTGGCTCAGACCAGAGGAGAAAAAAGAAAAGAAAAGAAAAAAAGTGGGGGGGTGGGGCACAGCCTGCAGCAGTAATCTTAAAATGTGGGTAGTTTCTTAATATCAGACCACAAACTCTAAAGTTGATACAAGAAAGAGTAGGAAATACTCTGGAGTTAGTAGGTATAGGTAAAAACTTTCTCAACGAAACCCCAGCAGCACAGCAACTAAGAGAT